GGTGACGCCAGGAGAGCCCACGGACGGAGGGACTCCAGGGCCTCCGCACCTCCGGATGGAGCGGGATCGTCGCGCCACAAGAGGAAGGAGGAGGAAGGATGGGTGGCTGGGAGAAGCGGAGGGGGAAGGAAGGCCTCTCTGCACCGCAGAATCAATCCACTTGGATGCCGCTTTCACTGCCCCTGATATTCTGGAGTAACACAGCTATTATGTCTCTGAATTCTTCCAAAATATAGTTTTTGTTTAAACTGTTGGGGGGGGGCATCCATAAGAGATGTTTTAAGGCTCAGATCAAACTCTATGCAAGGATTCTACCATTCCAGATCCAAAAAAATTGTGTGCCCTCCCTCCATGCTTTGTCAGATTAGGAGCCGGGAAATAAATCTTTGCTTATTTCATTCTCACATCTAAGAATAAGTCATTCCCAAAGACTTTACTCCTTACTGGATGAGTTTTCCCATCCTTTTTGATAATTCAACCCCCCCCCAAAAAAACCCCCCCCCATTCATTTGCACTAAATTTTGTTTATGCAAAAACATTTTTGCACAGAAGTGTATTTTTGTGTGTGTATGTGTGTGCAATAGATACTGTGTATTGATTTTGCAAAAGATACTGTGATGTTGTTTTTCTTTTGCAAATGACACAATGTGTATTTTTCTTTTCTTGGCAAAAGGAGTTCTTGTAGAGAGATCACACTATCTGTGAGCAGCTTTGGGTCCCTCTAGGGAGGAAGGCGGCATATAAATGAAATAAATAAACAAATAAACAAATAAATTGTAGCATAGTTGGGGCTAAAAACAAAAGGATGAGACCCCAAATGCTCCTGTCATAACCTCTAACTGTCCTGATTTGGCTAGGACAGTCCAAGTTAATCCTCTGCTGTCCCACTTTTCTAGCTGCTTTTAAAGTGTCCTGGTTCCTCCCCACCTTCCACTTTCCTCTTCTGCTTCTTCCAGTTGCTCCAAACTGACTTCAAAATGCAAAAGTAATTTGCACTCCACTAACTCAGCAGGAGGAGAGGACAAAATGGAGCAAAATCTTGCCCTACCCAGGAGGTTCAGGCAAACGCAAACTGCTGTAGCTGCTTCTAGCCTTGCGTCTTCTTCTTCCTCCTTAAGAATGTTTGCCATCTTGACCATGCTCTGATGTTGCTTACCCATGTCTGCCCTGGTTTTGTCCGTGAAGTGTTGGAGGGTATGGCATGTGTGCCAGTATAGCCAGTAATTAAATGATTTAAATTAAAACGATTTGAATGAGAGAAAAAATGCCCTGCAAAACCTGAGAAAGCACCAAATCACGAGGATGGGGGCATGGCTTTCTGGGGAAAGTTTGTTAAGTCAGGGTGCATCTACACTGTAGAAGTAATGCACTTCGACACCACTTTAACTGCCAGAGCCCTGGGATTTGTAGCTTTGTGAGCACTCTTTGGCAGGGAAGGCGAAAGACCTTGTCAAACTAGAAATCCAAAGATTATATAGGATGGAGCCACAGCACTTAAAGTGGTGTCAGACTGCATTATTTCTACAGTGCAGATGGACCCACAGAGGGCCATATTGGAACTTTAGGAGGACCAGATTAAGCCCCAAGGCCTGAAATGCCGTCCCTGCGAAGCAGACCACATTCATCCACTTTTCGTTCCTCTCCACCATTAAAGGCTTCCTTTGCATATCCATCACCCCATCCATCTCAGCACTGCTACACACTTCTTTGGTGTCAGTCCATTAAAATATAATAAGAATCACACGCACGCACGTATGTCAAATATTGTTTGAATCATTTCCCTCAGTCAGATCTCTAAGCCGGCAACTCAAACAACTTGGAAGACAAAACAGAACAAAGGCAAGCGACGCCCAGCAAAATGGCTTCCATCACCCAGCTTTTGGGCAGGCAAGGTGGATGGGTGTGGAGGTGGGACCGAAGAGACAAAATGATATATATAGATATAGATATATAGAGATAGATATATTCAACAGCGCGGAATGAAAAAGCGGTGCCTTGGGGAATGCCCTTTCGCTTTGCACCGGATCTCCTGATATTGTGCTAAAGATCCTCTTTTTCTATCATCACAATCCCCGTGATGCAGTGCTTGCAGGTGATGGCAACAGGTAGCGCAGAATCCATCACTCCCACTAGCTATGTGGCTATATATAGCGAAAGAGATAATATTGAGTGATACAATCTGGGTCCGGGAACAGATCATCATCTTCCACGGTTGCCTTTTTTCCAAAGCAAAACAGTGACAAAAAAAGGGGGCCACATTCCATGGGTAGGTTTAGGTCCATTTCCTGCGTGAACCGTCCTTCTCGTTCCCACTTTGCTCCTTCCTTCCTTCCTTCCTTCCTTCCTTCCTTCCTTCCTTCCTTCCTTTCCTTCACAGAGACACAAAATCCACGGCTTGCAAGAGGGGCAATGAGAGGAGGAGCAAAAGGAGCCAAGAGGTGTTCTGGATCAAGAGGCTGATGCCGGCGCATTTCTCCAGACGCTCTGCAAAAGAAAAAGGAAGAGGAAAGGAGAGAACAGAGGAAGAGCTCTAAGCCTGGATCGGAGCAAAAGCCAGCCTTCAGAGATGGCCAAGTGTTGGGGGTCTGAAGGGTGACCCATTATCCACCCTTCCTAGGACCCCCTAGGCTTCTCTTGCCTCTTTTTTACCAGTATACATTTCTATACCACTTAATAGTGAACTCAGCACTCTCTAAGCAGTTTGCAATCTGTTTGCAATTACCCCCAATAAGCTGGGGACTCATTTTAATGACCTACGAAAGGATGGAAGGCTGAGTCAACCTTGGAGCCCTGCCTG